CGTGTCGCGGGCTGCGCCCTGGGGTAAGTGTCCCTCCCACGAGGGTCCACCGCGGCCCCTGAGGTGACAGCGCCTCGGTGGGACAGGGGCGCGGCTGGGCAGCCTCGCTGTTCTCAGAGCCCTGGACGGCCTTTGTTCCCATCACCCCATTCCTAACTGCGTTTCTGAAATGGTTCACTTATTCTGGGAAGATTTTTCTGGCCTAGGTGTGACTGGTGGGCAGGCGGGCGGGGGTGGGGGAAGACGGATCCCGCACCTGTGCTGGGAAGCGGGGGATGGTTGGGCGTCTCAGGAGGGCAGGCCGAGTCGCTTCCAATGACTTGGAAGTGCCAATTTTTAACTGAGATATATTAATCATTCTTTGCAATGATCAATATATATGCTATATTTTGAAAATAGTAATAGATACATGAAATTATATTTTTTGTGTTTATTTCGTTGCAGAAATGTTGCATAGATTTGCTTTGGCAATAAAATACTAAACAATTAGAAGTATTTAAAGTAAAAAGTGAGAGTCCTTCTTAGGCCTCACAACCCCTCTCCTCCTCTCAAATATTATCTGTGTGTTAGCCATTGGGTTAGTATCCATTCTAGTGGTGTTCTCTGTGTTTACAGGCATGCACGTGGAAATATAAGGCACACTACTAGGTTCTTGATTTGTCTGTTGTAGGAGAATGGGGAGATACTGCACACGCTTTTCTGCACCACTCTTTAATCACTTCACCATACATCTTGATGATTCTGCGTTGTCAATGCTCATAGACCAATCCTAGATTATTCATTTGCCATAAATATTCTAATCAGTCTACAGCTCATGATTTTGACTTGTGATTATACAGCATCCTGAACTGAGAAATTTTATGCATGCATCTGTGCACACGTGTGACTAAAACATATTTGGTGGATACCAAGAACTGGAATTGTTAGGTTAGCATATGCACATTTAAAATTTTCATCTAGGCTGCCAAATTCCTGACAACAAGGTTGTTCCGTTTGCATCCGGCAAACCTGCAGGAGAGTCTGTTCACCTGGCCTCACCACCCGCAGACAGGGCGAAGATTCCCACCTCCCCTCCTCTGCATGGCGAGTCCTGCTGGCCTCTCCAAGCCACAGGTTTCCTTGCCAGCATTAATTTTGAGGGAAATGGTGGTATTAGACATAGATCTAAACCCAGGAACACCTAGTAAAACAAAATGCAGGTTATGCATGTGATAGTTTATCTGTAAATAGCTTCAAATCACAAATTACATTTACTGCTGTCCCTTCACTCTGCTAGTTGGCAGGTTGTAATTAATGGTCCATTACTTAAAAGTTTAGATTAAGGTTATGTGCTGAATATTGGCATTGCATGGGTGAACCACAGGAAAAACTGAGATTGGAATGTCCATGTGTGCGAGGTTGACCTGAACCATAATTGCCAAAAATGCATTCCAACACTCCAAATAATTAAAGTCATGAGACAAATATGTCATTGATTTAGACTTTAAAGCACACAAAGAGGCACATGAGCATTTAAAAATGAGATGAAAGGTGATTTAAAAATTTGCATCCATTCTTCTTCTGATTTTCTATTATTTTTTGAGATATCCTCCTTCATTTACTTTATTGATTATATATTTCCTCCTCCTTATCTGTATTATGATTCTTATCATCTGAAAATGATCATGTTTTTCTTTTCTCTGAAAAACAAAGTAAATATGTTCTAAATTTTATATCCAATTAGAAGCTGAACTACTCTCTCATGAGCAAATTCCAAAGCAAAGAATGTAAGCAAGGGAGTGGGTTAAGTAAAATATATTTAACAAGGTGTGAAAGGAAACATAATCCCTTCATTCAGCCAGGAAAGACTAATGGAGAACCTACTATGTACCTGATAGTACAAGCAATTTATGTATCTCAACCCAGTCCTTGTGCAGTGGGATCTTACATCCGTTTAGTGGGTATTGATGAGTTAGAAAGACAGGCAGAAGCGCAGGAGATACACTTGCAAATTGCTATGGGGATATGGAGGCAGCCAGGGCTGCACTCCAGGCTGACTACTGTAATGCACTGTCCTCTCTGGCCGTTAGGAATCCCAAATTTGATCACTGAAGTACACACAGACCTTTTAAAAGGCAGTTTTCTTGTTTAGACAGTATTGAAGCAAGGGTCCAAGAAGGTATACGAAACCAGGCTCAGGAGTCCTTTGCATTCCTTTCTAGAGGCCTCATCAGAAACTGTCTCATTTCACTGAGAAAGATTTTACCTTTTCCTCATGGTGGCACATGAGGTGGACTTTTGTCAGACAATTGTCTGGTTCTTATTGTTCAATATGATAAATTTGAGGAGGAAGCACTGTCAAAACACATCTCTCATTTTGTAACTAATCTCACATAGAACTTTTACAGAGAAAAATAAAAAGCAAGAACCATTTCCACCAGTAGTTAATCCTATAGCAGTTACTCAGATTGCTAAACAGGCACACGTATGTGTCACTTCAGCAAAACGTAGTTAAACAAAAGGTCTTATTGACAATAAGAGCTCTTATAGAAGCAACAATGGCAGGATGACAATTGAATATATTGACATTTTCTGGAATAGTCACCAGGAGCTTCCTTTCTGTTCTGGTCCACCAGGGATGGTGGGGAGCAGCCCTGCATGGGAGGGTAAAGGAAGAGGGACCTCATCACTCCTGTCCTGGGTCGAGCTCAGGTTTAGAAGCATTTCTCAAGGCATTAGTATAGCAGTTCCTAATGCCATCTAGCCAACAGCCAAACATCCAAAGCTGTAGATTCGCACTCAGCATGTAAACAAGCATAGGGAAGAGGTCTGGGGGAGTCTACAAAATGGAAGTGCCACATGTCTCGTACAAATTGTTCACTGCCTAGGGACTTATGTCAAGTGCCACCACAAGGCATCGGGACTCTTTGTAAAAGCACCTGATACTAAAGGATGTATCTTAACTTTCAGTCCAGCCCTATCACTGTCAGGTAGACAGCCTGAACTTCAGAGAGGCTCACTTGTTCAATAAACATTCACGCCAATACTGGCTGAGATGGGTCTTTCCAATCTGGAAATAATGACAATCCATATTAATAATAATACTTAATGAAAGGAAGGGTTATATTTTTAAACCAAGATGTTATTTCAAAAGTAATAATGTCAAGTTTATCTGTTAATTGCCCTAGAATAATCTGACTGGGGAAGTAGGAACTAGTTTCAGAAAGCTGAAGTAAAGGAGGAGGCCACGCTGCAGTAATATCTACTTGTACACGTTTGTCTTCATCAGACTCGTGGCTGTCTAGAGGAGGAGGCTGTGCCTGTGCTCCTGGCTCTACCCTGCAAGGCCCTGGGCTCTGAGTCTCGAGCACAGGTGGTCACAGTGAGACTAGGATGTGGAAGCTATTGTTTGTCCTGGATGAATATTACTGAATCTAGGTGATTTGTTGCTGGTATGTCTAATACAAGAATATTTTGGGTGCATGTGCCTTTGTCACGTAAAAGTTAAGTGTACAAATTAATTAAAAGAATAATTAGAGTTGAAAAAATGCAAGATTGTCTTGTTATATTATGTATATGTGGTATGTGAGTTTGTGTATTGTATGTGTGGGATGGTGTGTAAGTGTATGAGAACATGTGTGATTGTGTATGTGTTGTGTATGAGTGTGGTGGGTACTGTAGACCAAAAAAGGCCACACCACACCCCATTCTCTTCAAGGATTTTCTGTGTGGATAGCTGTGCACTGCTGTGAATAAAACCCCAGATCATAATTTGCATTAAAAGCTAAATATATCTTAAAATGTTACAGGACAACTCCAAACTAATGATTCTGGACTTTGACACAAAACAAATGCACTAACTCTCATTCAAGTTTTCAACCTTGATTTTTCAGGGTAATTTAAAAACCTATTAATATCTCCACATATATATTTCTGAATTATTCTCTCCTTTATGTGTTTATTTTGATAGATTCTTATTAGGGAAAATAATAAAATTTGTTATGGTTGCATTTTATGGGCTGCCTGTGTATTTCACAGGAAACTGTGTTGTCTGATTTCCAGTTGCACTTGCCAAGCACCCTGAACACCTTCTTCATCTCGAGGTGGCACACAGCACTCAGCGCAGCATCTGTCAGGACTGATGGGGATGCCGCTGCACCTAGACACAAGCAGCGTAGGGCGCCCCCAGGGTCTCTCCATTCTCCTGACACACTCCACTGCTACCCATTAACACTGTGTCTGTTGTTGCCATAGACGCATTTTAATGAGCGCCTCTGAGCGTAGAGCTTTGCACCAGAAGCCATGGCTTCAACAGCGGAGGCACCAGCTCTCACTCTCTGACGTTCCAGGTCATCATTTGGTCAGATAAAATAAATTCTGTTCGACAGTATAGTTTGAAATAATCTGATAATTTTATTTTCAAATTAGAACAGCCAATGTTTCTAATACTGAGACAATATTGGAGAAAGCCTCACTAGGAAGTTAGTAAAATTTCTAAATTTCTATTAATGAAGGTAATTTCTTTTGTTGTTTTGCTAAGATAAAATTGAGCTGACATTTGGAAGTGCCTTTGTTATCAACAAACTATACTTTGTTATGAATGAAATCACATTATTTCCAAGAAATAGTTAAACTTCTAAAAATATTTCTCACTTATTGAATTTTTCCTAATTACATCAAAGTATTAACAAAGGCAGTAATCTTACAAATTGGCTGATAATTGGTCAATCTGAATATTAAATGCAGTTAATTTTACCTTCAAGCCCAGACACATATTTAAAACTGTTAAATATCTTAGATTTCAAGATAAATTAACTAAACGTTTGAAAAGGATTCCTGTGTATCCAATATGAGCTTTCCTAACGGGGTTTCTGAGTAAAGTCACTTGCACATCTTCTTTACGTGCAATTGCCTTTCTATAAACATGACTCCTTGATGTCAGCACAGTAGCTCCAAGGTGGAGAGTCTTGCTTATCTTGCCTCAGTTACTAATGACATTACTGTTGTTGTTCTGCCCTTAGAAAATGAACTTGAAGGAGAATTGGTGAATTCCCACCCAGTGGGCGTCTTCAAACCCTGGTCGGCAAAGGGAAACCTTCAGGTGCTAAGATCGCCGCCCTGCGCATGATCTCAGGTACCCAACCCCAGCCCAGTCTACGGGGAGAGGTTGAGGAGAGTTGTTCCCTCTGGTGCTTTTTCTGTTTGCTGCTGTGAATAAATACTTTCAGCTTAGCTGCCTGGCTTCGGGAGGCAGTTAAAAGTTCTGCTGTGCATTCTCCAAGGCAGACAAGTCATGCTAAAGAGTCATTTGCGGTTAAGTTAGACACCGTGTCCGTTCTTCTCACCAGGAAAGTTATGTAGGGCAGGAATGATGTATGTTTCCTTGTGGTGGCTGTGATGGTACCAGTGGCCCTCCAATGGAAATGTTTCGTTCAGAGTCATTGCACACAGAACCCGCACTTGCAGCAGAAGTACCTGGCTAGTAGCGTTTGCGAATTCTGGTTAGGAAGGCTGGGGTGGGATGAGGGCTGCCTAGGTAGCACAGATGTTTAGGGCTGGAAGTCAACATGGTTGTAATGTGTCCAAAATCTCAGACCTTGCAAAGTCTCTGTTCTGAATATGTGCATGAGCCTGAGTGCAGGAGCTCTGGTACTGTCTTCTCCATACTCACATTCAGAAGTATGTTTTATGCGTTACTTTCATGGAGAGAAAAGAAAATTATGGTAAAATGGTAATTTCTCAAAATGCTCTGTAAGGAAAACTGTGGCATGCATTTTAAGGTTCACTGTGCAATAGTAATTTATTTGTCTGTGAGTACCCTGTTTGCCTGTCTGATAATAGAACTACTTACTACGACAAGGAAATGAGAGGCTGGGATTGTCTTCCATATGCTGCTACCTCGTGGGTGCTGCGATCTTTGAGAGCTTTATGAACTGCTGTAATAGGTCACAGTTGTTCTAATTATTTTCTCATCTATACCCTATTCATTTTCCCTGAAGAAACCCACTGCACTCATTGGTTCAGTTTGAGGAAGGCATTATGTTTAATTGTATATATCCCTGGGGTTAAAAAAACAAAAAACAAAAGAACCTATTCACATTTGTGGTAACCCATACTTGGCTTTAGAATCAGTTAGTTTCTGAATCGTAGGTGTTTCCTACATACAGGCTACTTGTTTTATCTAATCTCATTGAATTTTAGTAATGAGAACATTTAATGGACTATTTTATATGGGTGCAATTTTTAAACATCGCTTTACTGAATTGTCATTTTGGCATTGAGTTAGATGATCACATTAAATGAGGATTGTCAAAGTAGTTTAATATAAAACATTCAAATACAAATCTCACCAGGAATTAAAACAACAAAAAATAAGCTAGCTTTGAAAGAGAAATCCACATATATATGTTTGGCCTTGAATAGGTTTCTCAGCTGAGGCGTCACGCTTGATTTTGAGAGTTGTACATTTTTGAGGTGTGTAGACCAAGCTGGACTTGTTCAAGGAAGAAGAAGAGATCCCCAGGTTCCTGCAAGCCCTCACCTCACTCTGCTTTGCTCTGGAGCCCAGCCATCCTCCTAGTGAGTGTCTGCTGCAACCACTTATCCCAGCCAGAGCAAGCAGACCCTTCTACATATCAGATGAGCTTGTTACCAACAGTCTCCATGTGCCTCCAGATCCAATCAGATAATGATAACAGCAAGAAGCATCACCAGTACTTGCATTGTACATTGAGAGTTTCATTCAGTCCTCACTACAAACCAACCGTATCTCACTTTTGGAGCTTTGGCAATGATACATGAAGGTTAACAGGAGAGAGCTGCGCAAAGGGACAGCTCCCATGCTTCATCCATTCTCCCATGCTTGGAAGATTAGCAGTTGGCCCTCAGGAGATAATCAGTATTTATGTCCTCTGTATGTATGTGGTAAATACTTTAGTTTGTAGGTGTTGAAATAAAATGTTATGAAAAAAAATAAGTTGCAGTAAATAAATTTAGCATTACAAAATAAGAATACATTGTTATATTGAGAACATGTTGTTATAACAACTTCTGGGAACAAAATATAACTCCTCCCATGATCATTTATAAAATGACAATCTGTAATCATCATATTGCATAGATCAGGGTGGGCCAACTGTTTCTGTAAAGAGCCAGAGAGTAAATGTTTTGACTTTGTGGACTAAATGGTATCTGCAGCAACTATACACCACTGCCACTGTTGTACAAAATGAACCATAGACAAGACATGAACAAACGGATATGGCTGTGTCTTAATAAAATTTTATTTACAAAACTAGTAGGGAACAGATTTGACCCGTGGGTCTGAGTTTGTCAATCTCATGGTGAAGATCCGAGTTCACAGTTCCTAAATAGCTGCAATCATTTTGGGAAGAGAGATTATAACTTACTGTCTTTTCAAATTTTAGTACTTGCAGATTCACACAATAGAGCCTGTAGTTATAGGCCATAGATGTGTTGCTCCACAGACAAGCCCTTTTGTTGATGTATGAACTGAATACTTGGGATGAAGCTTGGGCAGAAACTCCCACAATGGTTGCAAGAAGGATAAAGAGAACCATTTTGTTATATTGGTAGAAGTCAGGGCAGAATCCAAGAAACCCATAAGATTCAACAAGGAGAAAAAATTGCTGGTATTTTCATGGGTACATCACCCTATCTGCCAAGAAATATGATCCTGAAATCATCCTGAAAATTGTGTGGGCTAAAAACCAAACTAAAACCACTATCAAGGGGCATTCTAATTGTGTGGTATATGAAACTGAACTACAACCAATACCAAGGGTGTTGTCACACCTAGATTCAGAGGGAGCTATGTCTGAAAAACCACACAGGTGCCAACCAAGCACACACTCCTAGAAGAGTGAGTGATGTGGTGTCAGCCGTCAGTGTGGTGGTGTGGGTGCGAGCCACTATGCAGGGACCATGGCATGCAGCCTGTCAGCATGGTGGTGTGGGTGCGAGCCACCGTGCAGGGACCACGGCACGCAGCCTGTCAGCATGTGTGGTGGGTGCGAGCCACCGTGCAGGGACCACGGCACACAGCCTGTCAGCATGGTGGTGTGGGTGCGAGCCACCGTGCAGGGACCACGGCACACAGCCTGTCAGCATGGTGGTGTGGGTGCGAGCCACCGTGCAGGGACCACGGCACGCAGCCTGTCAGCATGGTGGTGTGGGTGCGAGCCACCGTGCAGGGACCACGGCACACAGCCTGTCAGCATGGTGGTGTGGGTGGAGCCACCGTGCAGGGACCACGGCACGCAGCCTGTCAGCATGGTGGTGTGGGTGCGAGCCACGTGCAGGGACCACGGCACAGCCTGTCAGCATGGTGGTGTGGGTGGGAGCCACCGTGCAGGGACCACGGCACGCAGCCTGTCAGCATGGTGGTGTGGGTGGGAGCCACCGTGCAGGGACCACGGCACGCAGTGCTTCAGCATGGTGGTGTGGGTGCGAGCCACCGTGCAGGGACACGGCACGCAGCCTGTCAGCATGGTGGTGTGGGTGCGAGCCACCGTGCAGGGACCACGGCACACAGCCTGTCAGCATGGTGGTGTGGGTGCGAGCACTGTGCAGGGAACCGGCACGCAGCTGTCAGCATGGTGGTGTGGGTGCGAGCCACCGTGCAGGGACCACGGCACGCAGCCTGTCAGCATGGTGGTGTGGGTGGGAGCCACCGTGCAGGGACCACGGCACACAGCCTGTCGCTGTGGTGGGTGGGTGGAGCCCCGTGCAGGGACCACGGCACGCAGCCTGTCAGCATGGTGGTGTGTGCAGCACCGT